TAACAGTAGTAGTAGTAGTAGTAGTAGTAGTAGTAGTAGTAGTAGTAGTAGTAGTAGTAATAGTAGTAGTAGTAGTTAGTAGTTAGTTTAGTAGTGTACTAGTAGTAGGAGCGGGCCGTCGTACTAGTAACCTAATGCAGTAGTAGTAGTAGTAGTGGTAGCCCCACTATAGTAGTAGTAGTATAGTAGAGTAGTAGTAGTAGTAGTAGTAGTGTAGTAAGAATGACAAGCAGTAGTAGTAGTAGTAGCAGTAGTAGTTTAGTAGTAGTAGTAGTAGTGGTGGTCAGTAGTAGTAGCTAGTAGTAGTAGCACTAGTAGTAGTAGTAAGTAGTAGTAGTAGTAGTAGTAGTAGTAGTAGTAGTAGTAGTAGTAGTAGTAGTAGTAGTAGTAGTAGTAGTAGTAGTAGTAGTAGTAGTAGTAGTAGTAGTAGTAGTAGTAGAAGTATATAGTAGTAGTAGTAGTAGGAGTAGTAGTAGTAGTAGTAGTAGTAGTAGTAGTAGTAGTAGTAGTAGTAGTAGTAGTAGTAGTAGTAGTAAGTGGTGGTAGTAGTAGTAGTAGCAACCGCGGTTGTAGTCGTAGTCGTAGTGGTGGTCGTGGTCGTAGTCGCAGTAGTAGTGGTAGTAATGGTACGCAAAAATGCAATCCGCGAGCGGGCGGGCCCCTCGGCATGTGAGATGGCGCACGCCTGTAGGCCAACCAACAAACCAACCAACCAGCTAGGCAGGCAACCAACCAGCCAACCAGCCAGCGAGCCAACCAAGCAGCCAACCAGCCAAAGAACCAGCCAGCCAGCCAACCAGGCCACCAACCAACTGCCAACCAGTTACGAGGGGGCGGAGCGTGCCGAGAGGCATCTCTGAATAGAGCTGGCGGTGGCGGCGCGCAAAAATGCAATCCGAGAGCGGGTTTTTGTTCGCCACGGCGGCGAGCGTTTGTCCCCGCGGGCAGCTGCAAGGCATTCAGAGCCTGCCGTGGGATACTAGCCTGCCGTGGGATACTAGCCCCCTCTGCTGCCGGGGATGCGTGCAAACGCGCCGAGCATCCCGTTTCCCCCTGCATCCCGGTGTTCTGGTTGTACAACATGTGAAGAGGCGTAAACTCTCGGAGGAATCCACAGGAATTCCGAAGGAGGAGTCCAAAGGAATTCCGAAGGGGGAATCCAAAGGAATTCCGAAGAATTCCAAAGGAACCCTCAGGAATTCCAAAGGAATCCTGAGGAATTCCGAAAGCATCCTGAGGAATTCCGAAAGCATCCTAAGGAATTCCGAAGGAATCGTAAGGAATTCCGAAGGAATCGTAAGGAATTCCGAAGGAGTCCGAAAGAATTCCGAAGGAGTCCTAAAGAATCCGGAGGAATTCCGAAGGAGTCCTAAAGAATCCTGAGGAATTCCGAAGAATTCGAAGGGATCCAGAGGAATTCCGAAGATCCCATCCGTGGTTGGAATTGGTCTCATTTTTGATTGGGTTGGAATTTGTCTCATTTGTGGTTGGAATTGGTCTCTTTTCTGGTTGCAATTCGCTCCGAACGGTTGGAATTGGGACCAGTCGGTTGTAATTCGTTCCATTTCGGTCCGCACCCCCCCTCCTGGACGCCCCCCACCATCTAAAGCCGGACCAGTCGGCTCATCGACGGAGGGGCCCCTCGGCCTGTCTACAGACGACGCCCAGATGAGCCGGGAGCCGCGAGGAGCGGGCGGCGCCGGTGGAGTCCCCACAAATGGGGTCCGAGTGCAGTCGGACCCAGGCCAGAAGAACAGCCCTCCGCCGGCCAAAACACACAGAGCCTTCGAGGGTACCCTCCCCAAGATGAACAAGAGCCTCCAAACAAACACGAAGAACACCACAATACCCTCACCGAACCGACCTCGATCTTATACATCGGTCCGACTGTACTTCAGCCCCGTCTTGGGGGTCCGGGAACAATGCGGCGGTGACGGACCGTGCCGTGACCTCGGAATCCTCAGCAACCTCACCGCACGGTCCGTCAGACGCCCCTGCCGCCCGAAATGTGTCCTCGGAGAACGACCCAACGTCCCGACGCCGTGCGGCCATCCCGAATCCCCACCGACTCGCAACACGGTGTGGTCACCGCATCGTTTGGGGGGCCCGACGCATGAACTGCGAGAGGTCCGCGCGGATTTCTCGGATCTGGGCTGGGATCCCCTGGCGGCGCCTCCGTCGCCGCCCCTGGCACGCTTCGCGCACCAGGGAGGGGGGCCAACGCCGATCCACGAAATCCGCGCGGACCTCCGACAATTGACGTTTATGCTGCCTCGAACTTGGGAGGCCTGGAGGGACGCATTCGCAACGCTTCTCCCTCCCCTTTCCCTCCCTCTTTGTCTTCCTTCACTTCTTCTGTCCCGCGGAATGTGCACGCGATTTCCCCGAGCGGCAGCCTGGCACCGGCATCGTGGCCACGAGTCATGCTGCATGCACGGCTTCGGGGTGCGCACAGACAGCCCTCCCCAGGTAAGAGCTGGCCTCGACAGGCCTCCCGAGGAGTCTTGGCTGGCCTCAGCAAGCCCCCCCCCGAGAAGCCTTGGGCGATCTCAGCATTAAGTCGGCCCTGTCCCCCTACAGGGGAATATTGGACGACAAATAAAATATAGTGGAACAGTGCCCCAACATGTTCAAAAATGGTCAACAAATCGTCCCCAGACTAGTTTTTTGACAATTCTTGAAGAGTCCTCCTGTAGAGGGGCAGGCCCGACTTCATCTCAGCACCCCAGCCCTGGGCGCGGCGCCCCCCGGGGCGCTCCGGGCCCCGAGGTTGGGGCGTGGAGACCGCCAGTGGACTGCTCCCTGGGGCCTGCTGAGGCCAGCGGGGACTACCTTTAGGTCGGGCCTGCTTGTCCTCGTCCTTCTCCTTCTCGTCCTCCTATTGCTCCTTCTCCTCCTCCTTTTTCTTCCCTCCTCCTTCTCCTCATCTTCCTCTTCCTCCTCCTCCTCCTGCTCCTCCTCCTCCTCCTCTTCCTTCCCTATCCTTCTTTTCCTTCCTCTCTTCCTTTCTGGACGACAGATAAAACATATGCCAACACCAATGATCAACATGTACCAACAATGGGGACTACCTTTAGTCGGAAGCCAGGCGAGGGCTTCTAAATCCGTGGCTGCTAACATCGACCTCTGGGAAATTGTCTTCGTTCTTCCGGGAAGAAACCCGTGGACTGTTTCGCGTGCCGCGCCTCATTCCGGGAGGTTGTTTTTTCCTTCCGGGAGGGCCGTTTTAGCAGCCACGGTTTTAGCAGCCCTCGCCCAGCTTCCGATTTAGGTCGGGCCTGTCCCCCTACAGGCGCATTTTGGACGACATATAAAACATAGGCCAACAACAATGATCAACAGATGCCCCCAAAATAAGCAAAGCACGTCCCCCCATATTATTTGCTGACTATTTTTGACAATTTCCCTTGTAGAGGGACAGGCCCGACTTAAGACTACCTGGGGGAGCTGCTTGTGCACAGCCCGAAGCCTTAGCAAACCTGCTGGATGCATGGCTTGACTCTGCCTGGAGGGACGCCGCCGCCGACGACGTCGCCGATGACCGCGAGGCCGCCGACGATGCATCGGCGGCTTCCGCGTGGAGAAGATCAGGGCCCACGTCGAGCCGCATCGTCGACGCCGCATCGCCGATGGATGCGTCGGCGATGCGTCGCGATCCACAAACCCAAATCTGCTTCGACCTCATTTCGGAGGCTTGTTTGGAGTCCCGAAACGGTGCGGTGACAGACCGTGCGGTGACCTCGGAACCCCAAGAGACCTCACCGCACGGTCCGTTACCGCACGGTTTTGGGACCCCGGAGGCCCCTGTCGCCCGAGACGTCCTCGGAGAACGACCCGAGTCCCAAAATCGTGCGGTGACTCCAAATCCCCACCGACTCACCGCACGGTGTGGTCACCGCCCCGTTTGGGGGCCCCCGAACTTAGACTGCGTGTCCTGAGTAGGCCCGGAGGGACGCCGCCGACGACGACGACGCCGCCGCCTGGCCGATGCCCAGCGGTCTCAACACCACGCCGCCGCCTCCGACAGCGCTTTCTGGGGGCTCCGCGCCCCAGGGCTGAGGCTTGGAGGCCGCCCCGGACTGCCCGGGGGGCCTGCTGAGACCAGCGGGGACTACCTTCGGGGAACAAAAAATTACATAAACATAAAAACTCAGAGGTCCGCGCGGATTTCTCGGATCGGCGCTGGGCCCCCCTGGCGGCGCCTCCGGCGCCGCCCCTGGCGCGCTCCGCGCGCCAGGGAGGGGGGTCCAGCGCGGATCCGAGAAATCTGCGCGGACCTCTGAGTTCTTATGTTTATGTCATTATTCGTTCCCCTAAACCAGGTAGGGCTGCTTGTGCGCAGCCCGAAGCCTTAAGTCTGCTGGGTGCATGGCTTGAGTGAGCCCGGAGGAACGCCGCCGCCGACGACGCCGCCGACGACCACGAGGCCGCCGACGATGCATCAACGATGCATCGGCGATGCATCGGTGATGCATCGGCGATGCATCGGCGACGTCGACGATGCATCGGCGACGTCAGCGTGGAGAAGATCAGGGCCCAGGTCGAGCCGCATCGCAGATGCATCGGCGATGCGGCGCGATCGCACAGACACAGTCTGAACCCTCGAAATGCACCGACGCGCGATTTTCCAGAGAGACAACCGAAACAATTGTTGTGCCAACGCGTCCTGCTGGATGCATGGCTTGAGCGGGATGACCAGAGGATGCCGATACCGCTACTCCCCGGCTCTCCCAGGGTGCGTTCTGATTAGACTTGAATTCGAATCAGAACGCCACGGCTGGATTCTCCTCGGAATTATTCCGAGGAGAATCCGGCCGTGGCGACGAGGGCCTCCCAGGAGGCCCACAAAGACTGGAAGGAGGGAAGGGTCGCGGCATCGGTGTCGTAAATTCTTTCCCATGCCAGCGCGCTCTGCCCCATGCGTGGCTCGCGTGAGCTCAGAAGGGCGCCGCCGCCGACGACGACGCCGTCGTGTCGCTGGGCCGCTCCGAGCGCGCGGCAGCTGCCGCGCGCGCGCCGGGCGCCCGAGGCGGCGGAGCAGCTCTGGCGGGCGCCCGCGCTGCCTCGGAAACCCGCATCGCATCGGGGCGTGCATCGGATCGGGCTGCGCCAGCACGAGATCGGACAGCACCGGCGGCGCCAGGGCGCGCCGCGGTGCCGTGCGAGCATCGGGCCGTGTTGGGTCGTGGGAGCATCAGAGCCCTGAGCACCGACCTCGATCGTATGCCTCGGCCCGACTGTATCGGAATGGAATAGGATCGAGCCGGCTGGCGTCGCTGTCGAATCGGATCGATCGGATCGGAATCCCACCAGCCCTTTGGGCGTGAGTGGTTTAGCGAGCTCTCTCTGTTCTCAACCCCCCTTCTTCCCCTTCGGGGAGGGGTTTACCCCTCCCCCTACCCCCTCCCCCTGGACCTGGAGAGGGGGTTTCGCGGGTCGTTGGAGGGGTCTTTTTCGACTCCTGGGAGGGCTAAAATTTGACACCCCTCGCGAGGATTGTGGCCCCGACGGGGGGGAGGAGAAAAGTGCTCCCCTCTTCTTTGAAGCCAGAATCGCTGATTTTACTACGGTTTTGGCCCCATTTTGGCCTTCTGAGGGGGCAGCGCTAATTAAAGCTCCCCTCTTCTTTCAAGCCAAAATCATTGATTTTACAAAGGTTTTGGCCCCATTTTGCCCTTCTGAGGGAGCAGCGCTAATTAAAGCTCCCCTCTTCTTTGCTCGATTTTCTCCAAGATGGCTCCAAGAAGCGCCCAGGAGGCACCAAGAGGCCCCAAGATGGCCCCAAGATGGCCCCCAGGAGGCCCCCAAGAGGCCTCCAAGAGGCCCCCAAGATGCCCCCAAGAGGTCCCCAAGAGGCCCCAAGAGGCTCCCCCGAGGCACCCAAGACGCTCCTGGAAACCCCTGGGGCCGCCAAGAGGCCCCCAAGACGCCCCAAACGGCCTCCAAGAGGCTCCCAAGAGGCCCGAAGAGGCTCCCCCAAGGCACCCAAGACGCTCCTAGAAGCCCCTGGGGCCGCCAAGAGGCCCCCAAGACGCCCCAAAAGGGGACGAGGTGCCCGAACGCCTCACGCCACGAGGAGCCCGAACGACTCACACCAGGACGAGGGGCCCGAACGACTCACACCACGAAGAGCCCGAACGACTCACACCAGAAGGAGGGGCCCGAACGACTCACACCAGGACGAGGCGCCCGAACGACTCACACCACGAGGAGCCCGAACGACTCACACCACGACGAGGGCCCCGAACGACTCACACCACGAGGAGCCCGAACGAGTCACACCAGGAGGAGGGGCCCGAACGACTCACACCAGGACGAGGGGCCCGAACAACTCACACCACGAGAAGCCCGAACGACTCACACCAGGACGAAGAGCCCGAACGACTCACACCACGAAGAGCCCGAACGACTCACACCAGGAAGAAGGGCCCGAACGACTCACACCAGGACGAGAAACCCCAACGACTCAAACCACGAGGAGCGCTTTCTCTCCCTCCTCCTCCGCCTCGTCCTTCTCCCGCTCCCACCACAAGGAGGATGTACAAGGAGGCGGGAGGAAGGAGGAACAGGGGAGATATGCGGGGGCAGGCGGAAACACGCCTGAAAAACAAGACTGTCGGCATGCTTCGCAAGAGTTGCTGTTTTGAGATAGGCTGGTGGGGATACGCGAAGCGTAAAGAATTTAGCCTGGCGGGTTCGGTCGAGGATCTGAAGCCCTGCTTCCTCGAGGTGCTCGAGGCGCGAGGCTCGAGGATCGTGCTCGAGGCGCGAGGGTCGAGGGGCCTCACCGCCTCGGGAGGGCCAGGTGAGCCTAGGCAACTTCAGTAGTGCGGCATGCGTCTGTGCGACCCTCGGCAGAGCAACGCACGCGGTGTGGCATGCTTCTGTGCGGCCCTCCCTCGACAGAGCAACGCCCGTACGCAGTGCTGTGATAGACATGTGTGCGTACTGTGGACTTGGCTCGGCGTGTACCTTCAGACATTTCCCTCGGCACATGTGCGCTCTCTGCATTACACAGTGCGGGTCAAACGCGCACACCAAACACCACACTGGCAAGTACTGAATCTGCAAAACCCAAATCATATCGCAACGCCGAGGTGAATGGCGGTCTGCTTGCCGTATGGTCAACAACTTCAATGAATCATGATGTCTACTCCTACGGCTCTGCGCTCCTACCACTACCGTTCCGAAAGCGAGGTGCCCAAGGAAAACACAACAGCACAACCACCCACACGGAATGCAAACATGACAAACGCCGCTCCTTCCCCGCACGTGGGTGTGAACTGTTGCGCGCACGCGCTGAAAGCTAAGCACTCACGTGCTCTGACGCCCTGACTGTCAATTCACTTCAATTCCCCTAGGCCCGCAGCAACCGAGAATGATTTCCCAACGCACCGGCCTCGCATCAAAGCGCGTTGCTCTGCCACGGCCAAGTCGACCTTCGGCTGCACGATCACGAAAGGCAGCCAGGCGTCCCGCTGAAGGAAGGTGGTGCGACCTTTCCCCTCGCTCATTCTGCTGATGGTGGCGTTAGTGCTGCTCATTCTACAACTGCGCTCGTGTCCCCGGGTGGCAGCAAGTCTTGGAAACGGGTCGAGGTTCCAAACGCCTCGTGGGCGACTCCGTAGTAACGGCAACACAGCTGTTTGTCGATGGTTAGGGGGGAAGAAACGAGGTGTGGGCGGAAGGCGAGGGTAACCTAGATGCAACGGTTGTTCGGGGCGGGATGCGTATTTCTTTGCCATGCTGCAACACAACCGTCGATGGCTAGGTGTTGAGCTCAAGCCTCGACCGTAACCGATTGACATGCCACGGCGATGTTCTGGCAATGCTTCTCGGTCGGTGCATGTCCAGGCCGATTGTGAGTTCGAGTGCGGCATTCTCGGGCATGCACGCGACGTCTTTCGGGTCTTACTGTGAAGTGTGTGTCAGAACGATGTACGCACTGCCAGTCGACTTCGCAGCTGCTTTGTACACGAAAAGCTTTGCACACGTAGCACGCCTTGACGCAGTTCGCATATTTGGTAGTGGTGCGGTCAAGATTGCTGTAAAGCTGCGTCTCTATGACATCGGTGTTGTTCTCGATCTTCTGTTTTCCATCTTCTACGTTTCCCAACTTCCCTGGGCAGGCGCCCAACTTCGTCGACCTTGCGCCCCTTGCGCTTAAAGAGCATGCTCAGACCCTCTGTAGCTGCGGTGCAATCGTGCCATGGTCGCCTGGCACACTATTCTAACCATTCGGCCAATGAACGAACTGACACCATGGATGGGTATACCAATCCGCCTCGTCAAACTGTTTGGTAACTTCGGGCGCATCGAATACATCAGATATCGCTTGTTTGGTTGGAGTTATCCCCTCGAACACGAAAGCACGCCCATATGGGTCAAGGGGCCACGTGACATGCTCACTTCTGGCATGACCATCAGCTGTGGAGTGAGTTGTGTCTTTGCTTTCGACATTGATAGGTTGGCTTGCATACTGTTGCAAGGCCGACCTCTGACTCCTGTTGCAGGGCGGCAGCTCCATCGCAGTGAAGGTGTATTGTGTTGGGCGAGCTTTTCTCTTAGCAGCTGCGCAGTTGAGGTTCCAACGCTAACAGTGATAGCATCTGTATACCCCGAGCAGTCGGCTCTTGCATCCTCGGAGCAGGTGCGCATGGTGTACGGTGCAATATAGGTGGTCCAGCCTATGGGGTGAACAACCGGTGTCGCAACTCATGTCGTAGAACCGATGGAACAAGACCACCGTGCTGACATCGGATGACGATGTCATGAACTTAATATAGTGTGCGATCTACGTGGTGCAATAGTTCTTGTGTGTTCCGAGTTGAATGCCCCGCATACCTATACAGACACACATAGACGTAGACGTATAGACCCACGATGATTCACATACTCATATCGCGCCGTGTGCGGGATGCAGAGTGCGCAATGCAACCGTACAACATGTTGTGCAATCTATGTGGTGCAACTAATCTTTGACCGTCTTGAAGCTGTCCTCTCCACTGCTCGTGCAAGCATCCCACCCTCCCACCCGCAACTTGGTCGCAAGACCTGAAGACAAGACTGTGACGGTACGTACCACATGACACTTGGCCATGACACCGACGCCGACGCCGACGACGACGACGACGGCGACGACGACGACGCCGACGTCGACGACGACGTCGACGACGACGACGCCGACGCCGACGACGACGACGACGAAGACGACGACGACGACGACGTCGCCAACGAAGACGACGGCGAGGGAGGAGGCCAGCTGGCGCACGGCATGGCCACGAGGTGGCCACGGCCGCCCGACGGCCGAACGCCCGGAAGCGCCAGCTGGCGCTCGAGGCGGCCACGAGGTGGCCTCGGGCGCCCAACGGTCGAAACGTCCCTCGCCATCGCTCGGACGTCCATTCCCTGTGTTTTTTCGGTTTCGTGCTTGGTTTCTTCGCCAAATGATCAAGGATGCTCCTCGATGATCCTCGCCGTAGGAAAAGTGCACGCGTCCGAGCGATGCCAAGGTCCAGAACAGCCAGCCAATCACTGACGCAGAGCACAGCATGAGAACGCCTTGTGAAAGCACCGCTTGGGGATATCGGTGCCAGCAGATGGCGTGAACAAAAGCACCTCAACGGCAGCAGCAGTGGTGATAGTCAGGTAGTTGTGGTGCCCCCTCCGGCGTTCGCCAAGGGGGTCCAGCGGCGATCCACGACACCCGCGCGGACCTCCGAACGTACATGCTTGGGTTCTTGCACACACGGCGCAACAACTTCCTGCTCGGAGCGTGCTGCGCCTTCCGCGCCTCCTCCCCCTCCCCCCTTCCGCGCTCTCTCCCCGCTCCCTACTGTGCCCCAATCGGGCCCCGTGGTGCCGCTGGGCTGCCTCCGACCGCGCCGTGGCGCCAAGCAGCTTCGACAGAACAGTTGGTGCGCCTGCTTGCTCAGGCTAAGCTCAGGAGGGCTCGGAGGCTTCTGAGGAGGCCCCCTGGAGGGCGTGAGGGCTGCCACGGGGCTCCCCCGCGTGCCTCCCCTCGAGGAGGACAAACGGGGGAGGCGGCCAGGGCGGACCAGAAACCAAGCGACACCACCCCACCTACGACCCAGCCATGCTGACTTGCCCACCTACCTCTCGTTATGCAGCACCTGGCGACGGACGGTCCGGGACACGGTCGGGAACTTCTGCTCAGCGTGTCGCGGCGGCGGTCCCGGCGCCACCATCCCCTGCAAGCGTACGTACGGCGTTTCGCTCTGCTGCTCCAGGGCCGCACGGGCGGATAGCGGCCCTGCTGTGCCCTGCAAACGAGGCCGGTGCACCCGCCGAGAACCGACGAAGCCGTCCGACAACCCTGGAACTTTGGCCCTGCCCGTGGACGCCTCTGCTGAAGGGGCCCTGGGACACACAAATAAATACACACAAGTACAATGATTCCCCCTATTTTCCCATATTCTCTGGGTTTTTGTCTTCCCCCCCACTTCCCATATTTTCCCATATTTTCTGAGGAATCGACGATTCATTGTGTCTGTGTGTTTTTTCCCCTCCTGATCTGCCAGGAAGGACACGGGGGCCCTGCACCTCGGGGCCTAACCCTCCGAGACCGGCTGCGTCCCGGGCCGTCCTCGGACCAATCTCCCGGGGCCCGTGGAGGCCCGTGGGAGCCCGAAAGCGGCCTATACAGGGCAGTTTTTAATACATAGGATTCTAACACATATATGATTTTAATACATGATTAATTTAGGAATGGATTTATGCATGAACTCATCGTTGTTTTTGATACTAATTCCCTGCATTTTTTTATACATGATCCGCACGCGGAGCATGTATTAAAAACGGCACTGTAGCCCGAAGAAGGCCGGAGTTCGGGGCTCGCCGGAAGAGCCGCCCCCCGCGCCTCCACGGGCCCTCCTCCGAGCCAAGGGCCCACGGCGTGGGGCCACCGCAGGGCCCTCGGCCCCTTCCCTCGGGACGCTCGTGGGCCAGTCCCCCCCCGGGGTGCGCCCCCCCCCCCCCCCCGAGCCTACGCATCATCTCCAGTCAAGGGGCCCAAGGACACACAAACAAATACATAACAAATGACGAGATTCCCCATCTTTTCCCATTATTTCTGGGTTTTTGTCTTCCCCCCACTTCCCATATTTTCCTATATTTTCGGGGGAATCGACGATTCATTGTGTCTGTGTGTTTCTACCCATCCTGATCCAGGGAGGCTGCCAGAGGCCCCCCCGGGGCGTTACAGCAGTCGCGCCGGGAGGCCTGCGGCCATCGTCGGCCTCCAAGAGGCCCGTCAGCGAGCTTCGGGGCCGCCGGAGCACGACGCGGGGCGAACGGCGGGCCCGGGGGGAAACTGGGCGCCCGACAGGGGTGCGGAAGGCGTGGGCACGCTGCACGGCAGCACTTCCTTCGGGGAGACGGAAGACTCGGGTACGGGGGACTCGGGTTGGCCTGACGGGGCCACCATAAAAATGACGAGACCCAATCTGAAATTTGACGCGAGCTCCCGCTGCAGACATCCCACGAAAACCGTCAAAATCCAGGACACGCTCGTCAAAAAATGTCGGTAAACCCGAGTTCCGGCTTACTCGAGTCTTACGCTTCCCCGATGGATTCCTGCTCATGCCGAACGGGATCGATTCTGAGCGGGCCCGCTTCTCGAGGGCGGGCCCGGCCGCGGCCACGAGAAGCCGCGCGGGACCCCAAGAAGAGGGCGAGCCACTGCCCGGGAGCGCTGCCGCTGTCTCGACTGGCCCTCCCCCTTTCGGTAAAACCGGCGATTCTCGAAGGACGCCTTTCTTGCAGAGTCGGGCCAGACCTGTCGACATGCGGCTCTCGTGAGATCGGGCCTTGAGCGCCGTGGGCCTGAGCCTGGCCACGGCTCCTTGAGCCAAAATGGCTACGGCCAGCTCGGGCCTGAGCTCTGTGTTCGGACGGTAGCTCGGGCCTCAGGCGTCCGTTCGAGACGATCCCAGCAACCCTGGAAGGCCCGTGGCGAGGCGCAGCTGGTGATAGTGGGGACCATCCCGGGTCCCGAAAACCTCCGAACGCCTCCTGAAACAGGCCCCCTTCGGGAAATCGGCTGCATGCAAGAGTGGCCCTGGGCAGGAGCAGGCAGGGGGGACCGCTGCTGTGGCATCGCATTTAATGAGGGGTAGCGTCAGGTTAGGTCGGGCATGTCCTCCTACAGGCGGATTTGGGAGGAAACATAAAAAATGCAACAGACGCTCAGCAATAGGTAAAACTAGTCACAAAAGCGTCCCCAGACTACGTTTTGACTATCTTTGGGTATTCCTCCTGTAGAGGGACATGCCCGACTTAACGTTCGGGGGGCACCTGCTCAGGGGGGGAAGCATCGAGCTAGACTCGGCAATCCATCACCGACATATCCGCGATAGGCCCCCCATGGCGAAATCCGCACGCTCCT